GTAAGTTGAGCCCATTTCAGCTTTAAAGATAGGGGTGATGGTTCTAGCTGTTCCAGCAAGTATTTTTGCAACAGTGGAAACATAGACTTTAGATGTCAAAAGTTGGCATCTTTTGTCACACTTTGTGATAAGCACCATTCTTAGCATGAGTTTTTCCTGGAGTGTGAAGGAGACTTTCTCGTTAGTGGGTTCTAGGCTGGGAACCAAAGGTGTTTGAGAGCTGCTATGAAGAATGCTTCCATTAGTTAAGTGCTACATTTAGCTAGTTCAATATCAGTATTTGCAATCATTCTATCAAGGGAATGTTTTTTTGCTTGCTTCCTTATCAGACTGACCAAGTGATTTAGGCCAAAAAGGGCTACAAATGATCTAATGGAAGAATCCAAAGCCTCTTATTTGTGGGATGTGGTGTAGATCGGGTGCACCACTTTTAAGTGAGATTCTGTAGCTTGGAGCATCCTTCACAAGTACTTGAGCTGTTTGTCTTTTAAAGGCCACAAGTCCTGGAGAGGTTTAACTTCAACTGACCACACTTGTCCACCAAACTGTTTAACATTTCTACTCCATTTCTTCCTTCAAAATTATTACAAGTTGATGGTTTAGGAAGCTGGAAGTACTTTGAAATTTGTCATCACTTTGATAAGCAGGAGCTGCTAAATCTTCTGTCAGTTGTTTGCCTGCACTACTCTACTGTCTTGTTTTAATCCATGATTGCTTATAGGTACTGCAGTACCTGTGATGCTGTTGATGCTTGGAAACTAGTCAAAGTTTTCTGTTTGTTTGTTTCTTTTTTTGGTGGGTTTTTGTTTGGTTGGTTTTGTTTAACATCTCAAAGCCTGTACTGATTCTGTTTGTTATTTCAGCCTTGTGAATAGCCTGTTGATGATAATGCATTGGTGGTGCTGATAGTTCATTGAAAACAAGGTAACTTCGTAATTTTGAAAGCTGTAAAGTTGAGTACTTTTGCATAGGGTAGTGTGTAAGCTGACAAGTAGAACGTGGAAGAGTAGATATCTGGAATACTGTGTCTAATTCTGGGCTCCTTGTAGTAGAAAGATAAGAGACTTGCTGGAGCAAGTCCAGCAGAAGGTTTCAAAAGTGATTTAGGGACTGGAGTATCTTCTGTAGAGGCATAGCTGAGACTGTTGGCCTGGAAAACAGAAGGCTCTGTTGAGCTTGGCTCTGTGCAGTTACATGTCTTCACGATTCTTCCCAGCTTGTAGCCTGCTACCTAGGATTTTCATTCCAGTTTATCTCAGCACCTCATTACTCTGGTTAATAAGGGGTTGACTGAAATGCATTGTAATTCTATGGCTTATTTTTCTTAAATTTGGCATTGTAAAATGCTTTTAATTAAAAGTATAATATATGTGCTCACTAGATGGCAGCAGATTCCTTAACTAACTGTAAGAAGGAAACCTTCATTAGAGACAATAGGTATTTAAAATGCAAAGAAACTTTAATACCATATTTATGGTAAGATTAAAATGTTAGTTCATAATACGTGGAGCTTGATGCAGTCAAAGTACAGCTGACATTAGAGCTCCTCTGAAAGAGACTTTAAGAACATAGCTTCTCTGAACTGTTTCAAGACTAGATACGGAAGGTAACATTACCTGAGGCTTGAATTTCATCCTATTTCTTGTTTTGATTAAACATCTTCAATTTGCAGCTGTATTATCTTCGTATAACAGTACAAAATGCAAAAAGGGAATAAAATACATGTGTATTATGAGTTACTGCAGACATTAAAATAGCTGGGATTATTTCTCTATAAATATGTAATTACAAATTCAAGGCTTATAGAATGAAAATATTTTCCTTTAAGAAATTGCTTTTTATGTTGGGGGAGCAAACAGATATAATTTGATGTGTAGACATTTTAAGCTGATTTTTGGAAATGGTTTGAAATGATACTTTACTTTCTGATACTGACCTGAGTTTCCTCTTGCATTTCTGTTGCTCATGCTCTTTGCATTTGGCAGTTGTGAAGAAAAGCAACCTTGGTCTGGGGTTTTCCGTTCTGAGTAACAGTTCTGCATTTCACTAAAAGGGCTTTTCAGACGGTGGGTAACCTGAGTCAGTGAAGGTTGCAGTGTGTGTTTCCACTAGAGCCTCTGTGACAGGCTGCTAGGCTGTATGTTAAAGAGTAACTGAATACTGGAAGTATAGTTTACAAAATGAAGTGGGGCAGTGGAGAAGTGCTCATGTTCAGAAAGATGCTTCAAGGTATCAGTCTGGAGACAGTTCCATGAAGATTTGGTCCTGTAAACTGCATTTTTAATATGTACTTCAGAGGAGGAAGCTGAGGAGACGAACTCGTTGGTTTGATGAAAGCTTAAATAAAGGAGTGCCTCATGTAACCACATCTAGTGAAGCTTGTTTTTGTTCAAAAGGACTGCATCAAAAGGAAGTAGTGAAGGGGATAAGCAGCCACTCCCGTGCTTATTGCAGCTCGTTACCATTACCAAAACCAATATAATGATGATGCGAGAAAGCAGAGATGATTTTATAAGGTACTTACTGGGGGCCTTTTTTTACTCTGATGTGTGACTGTCAGGCCTATTTTCCAGGTGTTTCAGGAAAGCTTATCAGTGGTGTATGACCCAGCAAATTCAGTTTAGGACTTGGAATATTACCTTAGGGCCAGTTTTCAAGGCTAATTCCTTACACTGTGTTTTGTAAGACTGACTTTAGTATGGCAAGGTTTTGTTTTGATCGCTTAGGGTGGGGCTTGATTGCATCTGTACCAGTGTCTCAGTTCCAGACTGGTTTTTGTGTTTTGAAGAGTTACAAATAATAAATGCCACCGGGTTTTTGTGTGTCTGTGTTGAATGGGATGATCAGCTGCTTGTAGTCGAGTAAATTTTCCATCTATGGAAACCTTTTGACCTATTTGTTCCATTTTTTTGTTCATATTTCTAGCTTGTGTCACACTTTTGTAGAAGCCTTTTGAAAGGTGGAATGTACTTCCTAGGACCTCTGTATGCTTTAAATAAGACTGAGCGCATGCAGGAAAAACTTCTTTTCTGCAGTAGCTGATTTCTTGGCAAAGTAAAGGTATTTGCATACTGCATCTTAATTACACAAATGCTTTATATTCAGTGATCTGTTCTACTTAATCTTTCCTCACTCTGAAATAGTAGTCTCAATCCTCTGTTTGTAATACATTTGCCAAAGCAGGCAGTGATATAACACTTTTTTGTTAGTGCAGGAATGGTTCATAACTCACAAGAAGGCAGATCCCTGAGTGAGTCATTTAGGTCATTCCCACTTGTGTGGAAAAATATTACATCATTGCCCTGTACTCAGTGTTCTATTTATACCATGCCAGAATTTTAAGTACATTTTGCTTTTTTTAGATGCTGTAAACAGTACTGGGGGGTTGTCTTAAAGTAAAGTTACTGCTAGGCCATAGAAGGAGCATTACTGAATCAAATATTTACAGAGAGTCCAGGAGCTAGAGGACATGCTGTCTGCTAATTTAAGCTTGCAGAAAGAATGGATCTGTGCAATTTTTAACTCTGCTATATTCTTATCCTTCTAGTTTGTTTTATTTATGTATGTTTCTCCCCTCTTGGTTTTCATTAAGGAGTAAATAAAGGTGGAGCATAGCTGTGAGCATGTCTGGCAAATCTTGGTGAGAACACCTCCAAGCTAATGCTAACCTAAACTTACTCTTTTTGGTTGTGGTGATTTCTTATGGTTCATTCACAGCTTTGAATTTCACGTATATCCCTTTATGGTAAGAATAATTTTCCTCATTTGGAATAGATACCCCCCCTGGTAATTGTGCAGTTATACCACTGTCCATTGCTGCTATATTTGCTCTGGCTACATATCTTGCATTTCCATTGTTTGAAGTGTGCTTTTGTCTGTCAGCTTATATTTTTAGCAGTTCAAATCAGCCTCTGTGGTTTTGTACTGAGACTTCTGTATTGGAAAATTTTCTTGCAGTCAGTTGTACTTATTTTTTGGCAGTCATTTCTTTCGTAACAATTGAACACTGATAAAGGCAGTGAATTTTTCTTCAGGTTTAGCAAAGCAGGGTGACAATTATATTGTATAATTATAAAGTAGTTTTTTCTGATATCCTACACAGAACAGTAATATGCTTTATTGCAAAACACTAAGAAAAGTGTTCTTTTTGTGCTTTTTTTGTATGTGTATTCTTAAAACTTTATGTAGTATTGCTCTGGAGGCAGCACCATTGAGGTGCAGCTTTTACCAGACCTGTAGAAGTTGGTTCATTCACAGAATGTGGGTTTAGTGTGTTTTTTCTGCTTACTCTGAAGCTTTATTTAAACTCTTCCAGGTTTAACAGGGTAGATTTTGTTTAAGAAGAAATAGTTTTGTGGATGTATATTGTTTGTTGATATTGTCAAGCATCATTAATGGAGTTGGGCAGGGACAGAGCTCCTGTCATGAGCAAGAATCGAGTTGCAAAATGTCATTATGGTGGGTTAGAAAGGTGGCATCTTCCAGAGTACCAAGTACCTGGAGTTCATGCTCAGAAGTGATTTACTACAGCTTAATGAGATTGTGCATGTGAATTATGTACGATGCACAACTTTCAACACATGGCAAATGCAAGGAAACGTGTTCAGTTACAATAACTTATTTGTCTAAGCGCTGCAAATGTTGTGGGAGACCATGACATGACCTCCAGCTTGAAATCAAAGTCTTGGTTCCTTTTGGGTATTGAAGACCTCACAATACTCTTTAAGGATAACTATAACTTTCTGAGTTCTGGATGTGTTTCTCTATTTGTGTTTTCTCTGCAGCTCTAGTTGCATTTTGTTTTTTGTTTTTTTTTTTTTCATTGCCTTCAGCTTAACTTATAAATCCCAAACATTTTGGTACATGGTCCTGCAAGTTACTGTTCTGTTTGGGAATGCCAGCGGACTGCCCTCTTCTGATGGAAAGCTTGGATAAGTAAGGTATGATATTTAATGAAATATCTCAAAATTAATGGAGACTGTTGCTTTCTGTGAACTCAGGTGACCGGGTCATAGACGTAGGATCAGAGTGGAGAACTTTCAGCAATGACAAAGCAACAAAAGATCCATCTCGAGTTGGGGATACCCAGAATCCCTTGTTGAGTGATGGCGACTTGAGTACAATGATTGGCAAGGTAACGCTTAAAATGCTAACTTTTACCAAGTTTGAGAGGTTTTATGTCAAGTACATTCATATGTCTGCAGGGAAAGCATTCAGAGAATGTATTTACGAAGAGATCTGGTTTTGTGTAAAATGTGGCTCTTTCCTGGGGGTAGCAGGAAAGGGCTGAGCTCTTCAGCAGAAAACTTTGCAGTGCTCTGGGGTTACTTTTCACTCTTAGGTATGCTGCTGTAAATAGAAAAGCTGATGTTGCAATCTTTAAAGAAACCCTTTGACTTAGCATGAGTATTTGAGATGATTCTGAAATACCAGATAATTAGTTTGGAGGCCTCAGTAGCTGGTACTGTCCTGCTTGAACTGTCATTTTTTGGTAATAAAATCTGTATGACACTCATACTGGAGACTTGGAGATCTACATGCACATTGTATGCGTTCTTACAGTTAATGTTAGAGCACTAAATGTAGAATTCTTTCATGGCATGACTGCTCCAGAAGGAAGTATTCAGGGTACATTTGAGTTGAAATTTAGCGGTACAGCCATATCCTGCGGTTTCCCCTGAGCAAGCAAGCAAGGTTAATTGCACAAATGCACTGCCTTGAATGCAGTAGTGACTCAGGTACGTTTTCGTTGTTGCCCTTTTATGTTCTATTTTTCACTGCAAGATCCAGATTGATTTTTGTGCATTTCTTGGCTGTTTCATGAGAGGAGTTCAGTTGCTGATAAATAACTGTTAAAAAATGCATTGCTGCTTTGTGTGTGGTGGTACATACACACCAGGGTTTCTCAGCAGCTTTTGTTCCAGTGATGCTGCTAAGATGAAGAAGTACTTACATATGTACTTAAATATGTATGGATGTGTGTATGGATATTTCTTGACCAAGAATTCTTCACCGAGATGAAGTCAGCTAGTGAGTACAGATACAGACAGCTCATTTTTCACCGTTGGTGACAAGGAAACCTTCTGTTCAAAGGATTGTCCAAATAGATGCTTGTGTTTTGGACAACTCCAAGCATTGCTGCCCGCCAGATTTTAGGATGCCTTATGGTGGCTTTTAGAATCCATTCAGGCAAACAAATTTCTGCACTGTTCCATTAAAAATGCTGGCATTGCTACGTAGCTCTGTAAAGTAGTGTTGTAGAGTCATTGGAGTTCTAATGTCACCTGTATAGGTCCAGAAAGATTGTAAATCTCCAGGTTTGGATTTCTGTCACTGATTTGGTCAGCTGTGATAAAGATCAGACATACACCTTTACAGACAGATGGAGAAATGGACTGTTTGCTCCAGGTTCACCCTGTTGTCTTGTTTAGGGCCTGTGTAAATACAGGGTTTGTTTCTGGGAGCTCAGTGTGATTCCGTAGGTAGGGTGACCTTCTGAGCTCTTTTAGAAGCCCTGTGTTCATAAAAGGTATTTCAGCTAAAGGTATAGAATTTGTACCCAGGTGAACGGTGACTTGTGCTGTCAACCCTCTTCTCTCTGTAGGTTGAGATCCTCATTTAGAATAAGGATAGCAGCCCTAGGGAGAGAGTGAAAGAGAGGGGCATTCATTTAATGAAACAGTTTTGCTGCTAGTCAGAACATCCAGAATAAGTATGACCAAACTTGCTGTAGCAAGGAGTGCCATTTAGTGAAGACAGGATGTGGGAATGTCAGTGTGGCATGAACCTATGAGAACCGTGAATAAAAATGTTCAAGTACTGGAACTACCAGGATCAGATTGGAGAGTGTAGTGGGGGCTCTCTGTCCTAGTTGGGTATTTTATTTGCACAGGGAGGAATTGCAGAAGAGAGACAGGAAATTGGGAATCTGTTTGACAAATGAGGATGAGTTCTGTACAAGAGTTCCTGTGTTTGGCTTGCTAGTGAGTAGGGACTCTGGGATGTCAGCTCATTGATGTGGACTGTGTATCAGGAGCTGTTTTTTTTCCCCAGTTCTTTGGAAGGAAGAGAATGACTTATGTCAGAAAATGCTGAAGAGGCTTCCTGTCAGTGCAGAAAGGGCATGAATTTTGCAGCAAAACTAAAGCAAGGGAAGTAGTACGTTTCTGAAGCAGTTGTCTGAAGTCCCTGCTGCCAGTAGGCTGGGATGAGAATTGACCTAGATATGCACAGTGGTTGAATAAGGATGAAATTGGTGTAGTCAGTAGGAGGATAAGTAGTGTCTGACAGAGTACAGAACAGCCTTCGTGAATTCCAGAGAATGAAGCAGGGCAAGGTTGTATTTTCTCAGTTAACAGTTCTAAGAATGGCCTGGAATGGACCCTGGATTTGTGTGCCAGATTCCTTTTGCGTGGGACAGGGAACAGAGGTATTCCTTTCTGCTTGAGGTGGAGCTAATTAGAGACAATAGAATCATTAAAACAAATAAACCACTCCTACCACCAAAAAAACCTTACCCTGAAACCCAAACACAACCTGTGTTGTGGCAAATCTGAGAGGGACACTGATAATTCTCATGGCACATGGTATTAGAGATCTGTTGTAAACTCCTGGGAATGTAGGTGGAAATGGAGTCTAAACCACTGCCTGGAAATAGTAAAAGAAGGGGTCAGTTCTGCCTCACAGAATGGGTTGTACTCTTTCCTCTTTGAAACCGGGAGGTGCTGCTTCAGGACTTCCTCTCTGCTCAGAGTATGTGGTCTCTATCTGCTAGCAGCAAAAGAGAGGCTGCTTTGCCTATGCAAAGGGATTAGTTCCTAATTGGTTTTAGTGCTTAAGGGACCCATCTGTCTAAGGCAGCAACAGCCTGTTTTGGAAGGAAGATTAATTTGTCTCTGAAGAAGAGGATGAATAGCATAGCTTGCTGTGGTAGAAGTAGTTTGCATTCTTCAGATCTTTAGGATACTGGCACAGAACTGTATCTCTGAAGGTAGATACTGTGTGCTGAGCTTGGTCTGATGACAATGTCAATTGGAGGTGTGAAGTCTGGCATTAGTTGTGACTTGTCTGCCCAAGTATTTCAGTTCTTTCTAAAATCTTAAAGAACTGAACAAGCAGCTTCTAGATCTGCTGTGATATGAAGAACTTTTCTAAGATAACTTTTTTGCCACCTACCTTGTGGAAAAAGTTGTCCTTTGTCACCCTTTGCACTTAATCCATTAGTTTTTGTAGTAACTGCAACTACAAGAGAATTTAGGTTGGTGGAACAAGAAACTAATGCAATCTCTTGGTATAGAATTCCTATCCTTTGATCAGATGCCTCTTGAAAGGAAGCTGGCTGCTATCAGACTGTGTGGCCTGGATCTAGAAGTGCTATATTGAGAAGCAGTGGCAAGACATCAAGGGCTGATGGTTCAAAAAGAAAAGATCCATCAGGCTGTATGAGCTGGCTGTACTGGGCAGGAAGACTGCCAGATCTGGGAGCGTTCCTTGGCGCTGTGGATAACATCAATGATGTGGATGATACTTCTTTCTGCTGTTAAAGGGGTACAAAGCTGTTGGCTGCCAGCACTGTAAATCAACCTCCACTGTGTCCCTTCAGGGATCATCACTGTTTACTGGACTGTGTTTTCTCACTCTAGCTATCTTTGAGGCTGTTTCCAGGATTGTATCCATGAGGCTTCCACTTTGTTTGGAAGCCAAACAGGTAGAACTCCTACCTTTGACAGGTACCTTTTTTGCTGAGATGAGAAAGATAGGAATAGATGTCTCATAAAGGCCACAACAGTAAACCACACAATTCTTAAAGTCAGCTTGATTTCAGTTAAAACTGTATGGCTTCTGTTTTTTCCATGAAGGGAAAGGGACTCCTAACATGATTGTCAAGGGCTGAAGCTAAAAGGATTGTCCCTCAATTGAAAGGTGCAGAAGGAAAGTAGATGATGCATTTAAATAGTAAAGGCAGGGAGAGTTGCTATGGTTTACCTAAGTGGTTGAGATGGAAGAGTGTTTTCCAGCCCTTTTATAGCTGTGAGCAGTATGTTGGCTCTTGGAGAGTGCTCATACCAACAGGGTATGTAAGAGTGCTTGCCTATAGCTGCATTGGTAGCTTCAATATACATAAATAAGCAAATGTTCGGAAGAAAAGGTAACTGAAGTACGAGCAAGAAAGGAAAACATGAGATGTAAAGGAGAACCATTACCAAAACAACAAAGGATAATAAAATAATAATAATGTTCTAGGTGATGTGTAGTGGACAAGGGGAAATCCCTGTGGTGAAGGGGAATACTTGATTGCCCCAGTAATGCATTGCAGGGCTATGAGTGATGGCCAGGAAGGAGCCTTTTGACGTGAGACTTGTGTATATTTTGGGCCAAGAGAAGTCATTCTGGCATAATTGCTAAAAGAAAGGCCTAGTGTTGCAGATGTTTGTAATGCTCTTTGTGACCTGAAGTCTGATGTGCTCGATTCCTGCTCTTTGCTTACCTTTAAGCCATACTGGGAACCTTTGAGTAGTTGGAGGTGTTCATCCAGTCAGCGAAACAGCTGCCTTCAGAGCAGCTCTTTGCTGGGTTGGTGCCAGGATTGTTTCTGGATGGTTCTTTCATCTGAAAGGATGTTTGAAGGAGTAGGAAAAACCCAAGAATGATCTTTGAATCCAGCATCTGTCATAGGACCCTCCCTTACAGGTTTCTCTGTGCTGCAGTCCTCTGTCTCCATAGCAGTATGTGTGTGCACCACACATACAGGTCTTGCAATTGAAGTCTGCAGCGAGCTTGTCGGAAGTGGGGTGTCCTTAGGTGCAGGGAGGTGTAACAGTGTAAGTGAATGGTCAAGAGTGAGCATTATGAGTGTCAGCCAAGGAACATGTATTAAATGCAGCTGTGTAACACAGATTATAGGATTAGAGGCTGTTTTAAAATAGAAGGGCAATTCCCAACAACACAGGTCAGGAGAGAGGAAATGAGCTCCGACTCCATCTGGGCAGCTCGGAGACATGGCAGTATTTGTTACAGGCATGTAAGACTGATGGCTTATTGAAGACAAACATTTTAAGACCCTTAGTTGGGCAAAATTGATTGCATATTTAATAGAAGTATGCAATTTTCACTATTGCTTGTAAGGTACAAAGGAAAAAATGTGTGTTGGAAGCTTGTTTTGAAGTTGCCAGGTTGAGTTGGTGGCTCTTCTCCAAAGACCTCAAGCTTTTTTCTTTTAGGAGGCAGAATATAGGGACATTTACATTTTGACACAATTAAGGCTTGTAACTGCTAGCAGCCACAGTATCAAATTGGTTTTGAATAGGTCATTGGTTTGGATGTTCTCTTTGCTCATGCCTTCGTTTTCATATTGGAGTTGTCATTGTAACAACTGTTCTCCAGTTGGCCATAGAATTCAGTTTTCCTGACTCGCTGGTCCACCGCATAGTGCAGATGCAGCCCAAATGACCCCTGTTTCTGCAGCACTGGTGACAGGAGTATTGAGGTGCACACATTGGCTACAGAGTATTCATTTTGTTCTTTAAACTGTGTTACATTAGGAAGGAAAAATCCTTGTGTGCTCTCTTGTCCTCGGAAATCAATGAAATGATTTGAGACTTGTGCCAAGTATAGAACCTGATGTTTGGAACGCTGCTCAATTGTATGATTTACTCCGGTGACATTCATTTGCCCAATTGTTGGAACTGAATGCCTTGAATTAAGATGCATAAAGCTGGAAGATGTTTGCTCTTGAAATGAGGAGGAAGTTGTTTCATATTGACAGTGAAATGTTCTTTTCTCAGGGCACAGGTGCAGCAAGTTTTGATGAATTTGGGAATTCAAAGTACCAGAATCGCAGAACTATGAGCAGCTCTGATCGTGCAATGATGAATGCTTTTAAAGAGATCACCAACATGGCAGACAGAATCAACCTCCCTAGAAATATAGTTGTAAGTTCATGTCTCCCTTCCTTAAACTGTTCTGGCGTTGATTTGGTTAGCATAATCTAAATGAGCACATGAATTTTTGATACTGCTGCTAATTAAATGGCCTTGAGTTAATTAAATTCAGTCTTCTTGCATTGAAGGATCGAACAAATAATTTATTCAAGCAAGTGTATGAGCAAAAGAGCCTGAAGGGAAGGAGTAATGATGCTATTGCTTCTGCTTGTCTCTACATAGCCTGTAGGCAAGAAGGTGTTCCAAGAACATTTAAAGGTAAGTTTTCAGTGATACAGATTCGATTTTGCTATGAGTAAAGGTCTAGTTACTGTTGCTGTAGGAGGCTGGTTTTCTCATTTCTGGACTTTGTTGAATTGGTTTTTCTCAGCTATAGCTCACTTTTAGGGAGGGAGGAGAAGGAAATGTTGTGTTACATTTGTGGAGTAGGCTCTCAGGCATGTGATTTTTTGGGTCATAATGTATTAAAAAAAGGCAGTTGAAAGGTATTGCTTTGAAAGGATGATGGGGACTCATGAATTAAAACCAACAGTTCTGCAGTAAATACGTGCAACTTTTCCCTGAGAGGGATACGACTTCTTTTGGCATTGGGAGCCAAATGCATGTAACTAAGCGAGCTGTATTAATCAGCTCCTTACAAAAAACTTGCACTGACTGAAGTGATTGGGAAGTTCCACAAATGTACAAAGCTTATTTAGTGATGGTGGCCCTTGTGACATTGGCCTTCTTTGGGGTATTGAGAATCAAATTTGATTGTTTTGGGGGAACAAATGCTGTCAAGCCTCAGGTTTAACTTCTACTCTCTGTTTAGAAATCTGTGCAGTGTCCAGGATTTCAAAGAAGGAAATAGGCCGGTGCTTTAAACTGATTTTGAAAGCTCTTGAAACCAGCGTTGATCTCATTACAACTGGAGACTTCATGTCAAGATTCTGCTCCAATCTGGGTCTCCCCAAGCAAGTACAAATGGCAGCAACACATATCGCCCGTAAAGCTGTGGAATTAGATTTGGTTCCTGGGAGAAGCCCTATCTCTGTAGCAGCTGCAGCTATTTACATGGCATCACAAGCTTCTGCAGAGAAAAGGACACAAAAAGGTAAAACCTCCTTTCTTTTTATCTTCCTTCCTTCCCTACGTCTTGCTGCTTGAAAGGGAATCAAATGTTACTGTAAAATTTGGATGAGGTCTGTGCAAGGAGTGATAAGCTGCTATTCTAATTGCATACAGCAAGGACCCAACCAGGATCTCCCACTTCCAAAAATGAAAACTGATTAACTGGCTATGTCAGTATAAACCAAGTTCACTTTCTTCTGGCACTGGGAGTTGGATTCTTGAATGCAGTAGACCAGTGCATTCAAATGAGCATAGTTTTAGCTTTACCCATGCTATTTGCATGTGTACGTTCTGCTATAAATCACTTCAAATGCAAACTTGGGGCAGTCACAGGTAGTTTTATGGCTTTAGATTACATTGAGTCTTTAATCAGTCTAGCAGCCAGGAAATCACCTAAACTAGTACGTGTTCCTTGACATCTACAAGCCTTGATGAAGAATGGAAGTGGTGGGGACAGTAGGCTGGGCTGTAGATCACCTTTGGCATTACTTTCTTCTGGCAGGGTAGCCCTTACGAAGCCAGGAAAGAGTTCAGGGCTGCTCTTGAGCTCCAGAGCAGTGAGGATCAGCCTCTGGAGCTCAAAAGAATCAGGCCTATGTAGGAGCAGCACAAAAGAAAGGAAGGGAGCTAAGGCTGTGGTGGTTAAACTTGATGTAATAAATGGATCCAAGTGCTGGTAACTGGCAGTGGGAGCTCTGTTCTAGTGTAGAATGTGTCTAGTCCAGTTCAGATAAGAAATGTTAAAAATCTAGCAATTTCTTAGTGGAGAGCTGCTTTTAGGTAGAGAATATCTGTCAGGTTGTGGTACCTTGTTCAGCATTAATCACTGCTTAATTCTGTCCCTGGAGCTTTCATCATGGTGGCAGTTTCCTGGGCATGTGGGTGACCTAGAGCCCAAACAGTGTGGTGCCTTCAGCCTTGCTCACATTGAGCTATTGGGTTATGTCTCTTAAGAGTGATTGTTAAAACAAAATATAGCTGCAGACATGACTCCACACTCCTTCAGTGTCCTCAGACAATGCTTTCATGCAGTTCAAGGCTTTAATTCCAAACTTAGTTAAATATGGAATAAATGTAAGTGTCTGTGCATCTCAACCAAGTGTTCCCTCAGCATGCTAAACAGTGCTCTGTGCCTCTGACACATTTCTCTTGGCCCTCCTCCAATTTGAAACTGGTATTATTTCAAGGTTGATAGCATAAGTTAGATTGTGGCATGTGAGAAGACAGCTACATGTACAAAGTATTAGTCACCATGGTTAAAACCATTTTTACCAAGCTGTTGGGAGAGTTAGGAATTAAGCAAAGTGTGAAGCACTTCTTGACAAACTATGCTTGCTGGTTTCTTCAATACAAATGGCAGAAGTGAAAACTAATCACTTCTCTGTTTTTTTTTGTCTTAGAAATTGGTGATATTGCTGGTGTGGCTGATGTTACCATCAGACAATCCTACAGGCTGATCTATCCTCGAGCTCCAGATCTCTTCCCAGCAGACTTCAAGTTTGATACCCCAGTAGACAAACTACCACAGCTGTGAAATTGCAGAGAGTTGCTTTCAATTTCTATTAACACCCACCCCCCCCAACAACAACAAACTTCTGATTTTTGCCTATAATAAAGGATGTACAAAGTGTTAATATTGAGTCTTCATGTTGTGGAACTGGAGGATATGGAGATGGAGCATAACTGCTGGGACGCAGCACACATTCCAAGGGTAAATGAGCTCGTTGTGTGGCATTTTGTATGTATATATTAGTGGAATATTTAATGATTGTCACAACAAACTTAATTTCCTATTGTTGTACTTAGATTTCTTTTGTAGGGATCTAGTAAGATGTATTTTGGAAAATTGAAAATATGATGTAATTCCCAAATAAACCATTTTCCAAAAACCCTTACCACCTTGTGAACATGACTGCAGCTTGGCCACGCGGTCACGGGCTGCTTCAAGGCCTTTGGCTCTCTAGTGTGGCTTTCCTACTTGTAGTTAGCTGCGCAGTTGAGTGTGGGTGACTTGACCCAGAGTGCAAGCAGTAGCTAGAAAGTGGTTAGAGTATTTGCACAACTGCTGCTGGGTTTGTGGATTGTTGTGAAATGATTAGTGCCATCCCTGGCACAGTCTCCCTGACTCTCACTAATGTGTCTCTGCTTCACTCCTGTGAATTTAACAGAACAAAGTAGCTGAAGAGAAACCTAAGGACTCTTACTTTAGTTGAATCCCTGACAACTTTGTGATGTGAGGTACTGCACAAAGGAAGGTAACATATTTCTAGTAAGTTTTTGTTGAACGTCTCACCCTGCAGTGTGGCTGGCAAATGGTCAAGCCTTTGGTGCTGCTATGTTCCAAATGTGAGCACTTGCTTGTTTGAAATGATGGGCCAGGTGCTGAGGAGTTCCCTCCCCACAACTAACAGGTTCGGAAACTCGCTGCCTCCTGACAGTGCCCCTTTGTGTGCAAAGCAACAAATGCACTGAACTGGGAGTCTTCTGGTGCCCAAGTTAATTTTGTATCACAGGTGCAAATTAATTTGAATTACCAAAATGAACAGCTGAGGGGTGAGCTTGCTCTGTGTCTGGTCCTCAGCCAGCCAGAGGGCAGTGCTAATAGCCCCCATTGTCAATAGCCCCCACTGTTCTAGTGCTGCTTAAGTTTAATCCTCTTCTGCTAGTTGAGACTATTGAAATGCGGCAGCTCAACATTTTTTTCCTCCTGTAAACAGGAGAGGCTGCACAGTTGTGTTACAGTGCTGAGGCTGTTGGCTGCAGTCCTGAAAACTGCTGGTGCAGATGTTGAAGGTGGTGTTCTTGGTAGTTTGGAGGGATTGTATTCTAATTGCTAACGTATATCCTTAAACTTTGTTGCAGCACTTTCTATTACGTGAGCTTCCTCTGTCTTGCTCTGAGCTGCTCTACCTCCTCCATGGGAGAAGGGGTGATGCTTTGTATCAGCCGGGCCTGACCTTTAATGTGCTGTTACAGTTTGCAATGCAAAGGTGAAGGTTATTTTACAGTGAGTGTACTTTCCATAGAGCAGGATGTTAAATCTACTACATACAGGTTAAAAATGGATGAAACTTAGATTTACAATAATGCTCTTACTTTAAATGCTTTCAGGCATTATGCACGAGCACTTGACATGTGAGTGGTGAGCGGTTGCAGTTGAAATTGTTAGATACAGCACAAGCTGCCTGGACTGAAATGTAAGTACATCTGTGCAGAGCTCAGGAGTGCAGCAGGTGAAAGCAGGGTCATACTATCCTGGCCTGACCTTGCCTTTTCCTGCCATCCTTAGTGTGGAGATGGTAGGAACAGTGCAGCCCAAAGAATTGGTACTAGCTGCATGCTTCAAGGGGCCTTATAGTCTGAAAACCAGTCACTGCTGGTCCCAGCAGACTATGGTTAATGTGAAGCATTCCAGAAGAAAAAAAAGTTTAACTCTGAATTCATTTTTAAGCTGCTTTGAAGCTAAGGAATGTGGCTTCTCTTAGAGAAGCTTCTCCTTCAGAAATGAGCGCTCCTGGTACGTGGGATGTCCACGTGCAGCTGTGTGTGTGGTACACCACCAGTTCTCAGGGTTGCAGGGTTAGGTGGGGGGAGCTGGAGAGGAGGTTCTTGCAGCTCTGAAGCCTCTTCTAGCTTATTACCTGCTTTTGTTTCTGCAGCTGAGTGGTAGCAAAGGCTGACTGACAAGAAGAGCCTAAAGTGCAAGTGAGGAGACTGACTGTAGTTCAGGTGTTTGTAGATTTGGGGTTCTCTGCTAATGCACCTATGTTGTTGCTTGCAGTAGTGAGCTTAGGAGAGCACTGCAGGCCTGCATTCTCCCCCCCAGTAACCTCCAGGCACTTCCTACATTAATTCTTGGAAGTGCCTGTATCTTCCATGAAGCCAGCCCTTGCTGGAGTGATAGTGTAGTTAAGTACTGAAGATCAGCTGCTGTAGGCAATGGTCTCATGTGCAATGTTAGTTAGTTTTTGGGAGTAAAGGTTTCTCTTCTAAATGTGCTCAGAAAAGAAAGCTTCATTCTCTGCTTAAAGAACAGGTTTCCTGGGCATTGGGTTTTGGTTTGTGTGCAGAGCTTTCCTATGTAATGAGGGGAGGAAAGAGACTAGAATGGGTAGAAATACCCAGGAGGGGAACAAGCATTGCCTCCCCTTGCCTTCAAGGGAAGCCCCTGAAGGGAGAACACTGGTTCGTGGTAGCCAGACCACACTAGCCATGGTCTGCTGCTCCCTTCAGGACTGCTCTCCCAGGCAGCAGGAGGCTGCTTGCCTTCGGCCTCAGACAGAAGGTGTGCTGAGAGGTGCTGGTAGCACACTGAGCTACCAGCAAGAGACTGGGATTCTCTAATTCCCCTCCTGAGGGCAAGTTCTTTTCTGAAGTTACCTGTGGAGAAAACATGACAAATCACTTCAAGAAACAGCAAAATCATGTTTGGGACACATTTTACAAATTACTCTATTTAAAACTTTAATTTGTGATATTAATGACTGCAAAACACTTAGAATGACATTTGTTAAAGGCACATTTCATTTTAATGCATAGTGTACCATTCTAAAATATCCTAATTTCCTTACAAAGTGCTTGAGCAGCCACATACAGATAAAGTATAGCAAAATATATTTACAATCTAGGGTTTAAAATCTTAATCTGCCTAAAAATATTTTAAAAACTACAGAGATAAAATTAGTGCTTTCTTTCAGCTTACCTGGGTGAACAGACCCTGCCCTCTAATGGGTTTTTTTTTTTTCTTTTTTCTGTGATTTCCTTAGATTAAAAAAAAAAAGATTTCTGTACAAGATGTAGTTACAAAAAAGGTATTTTTGAGGATACTTTCTTAAGTGTTAAGCACCCTGTTAGATGCTCATATATATATATCTGGGAACCAAGAAGGGCGAGCTGACTGTACCTCAAAAGTCTTGGCTTCAGCTGGATACAGGAACATGATTTGTTTCTTATGGATCACAGTCTGGAAACAAGTGATGCTGAGAAGTGGCCTCGCTGCCAGACGTGGTGTGGAGCGTGGTGAAGCCACCTGCCTTGTTCCCAGGGGGTGCAGCACTTACTTACACCTAATAACCAGTGATTTCTCTTCCTCCCAAAGCCTCTCCCCTGCAGGTCTGTCCAGCATCATGATTCTAAACCACCACCTCAGTGCTGCCCACTCCAGTGGTTCACATTTCTTCTTGTAATTTTATTCATTCAGAGTTTTGCATCCAGTTGAGTGCTGATTCTCACTGTCTTAGCCCTTGAACAGCAAACTCCTGGCTGGGATAAACCTGGGAGAGGACATCTGCAATCAGCTCTGAGTGGTGCTGGAGCAAAAGGACCACACCAGATGCCAAAACCAGGTCTTGGGTTACACGTATGCACAGTGTCTGGTCTAAGCTATGTGTCAACTTTTGAGGTACAGTGTTTAGTGTTAAGGGGTTTAGAAAATATACACTGTTTTTTATCAAAAATATTTATACATTCTGATACAACATATTGCTTTTACCCTCAGGAACTGCCAATCTACGTTCTGGAGGTCAGTGGCCTATAGGTAACAAGTATTTTGTCCACTCTCAGTTCTATGTTGTTCGCTTGGCCACTGCGTAACATTAATGAAGTGGTATAATTAAATTACTTGCCTGGACATAAGAATACATTACAACTTCCAAATATACATGTTCACAGCATGTATACATTGAAAATCCTTATGGTTTCTAAAAGTGATATGATATTGTACAGCAGATAGAGGATGATCTAGGTGGTTAGATACAGACAGGTTAACTTAGCTGTCCACTCGGCGAGTGGAAAAGGCATGGGTTTGAGTACAGAAGTGGCTGGATGGGCTTGGGAAATGCATACATTTTGCTCTGTGGGTTTAGACTGAGCACCATCCTCCTCACATTCTTCAGATCAACCAGGGTTTTAAGCCATGCTTAAAGAGCTTGAAGGCAAAACTGTTTGGCAAGTGGCTTTGGTAAACTTTCCGGGTTTTTCTGGATTTCTTTGTTGTAATGGAAGCACTTACACTGTTATCTCAAAGGCAAGGTGTTTAACAGTTTTTCCTAATAAATACCATAGAAAATTTACAAAACAAGGCATATCTGTTCTCCATACCATTATTTTAAGAACACAAGATGAAGGTGTACATAGAAATGTGTAGTTTTATAGACTGCACACAATGTGTAACTGAAATCATTTGCCTTCTCCAGCTTAGAGCCATGTTGTGTGTGTCATTCAGGATCCCAAACTTCTATCTCGGTGTGGCTGAGCAGAGACCAGTGATCACCTAGCTCAGAGTCTGCTTTCCCCACTTAAGGCAGACACTTTAAAGAAGTGATGTGATCTGCTGTGAGAGAAGCGGTGCAGACCCCACGTGTCCCCATGTGTGGGAAGCTTAATACAGCTGGGTTCACCAACTCAAGAACTCCATAGACCTGCTTTCCAGTGCTCAGATAAAAAACAATATACAAAGAGGCCACTCTTCACAAGAGTGTCAGAACAGTACTTAAAAGGATCTTCATGTGATTTAAAAAAAAAAAAACCAAAAAACCAAGCTACAGGTGGCACAGAGAGCAATCGAGGGTCGGTATTCTTCTGAGAGAGGCATTCTTGTGAGCCAGTCAGCCGGGGTTTCACAGTGTCTAGAAGTTAACACCAATCAGCAATGTAATCAAAATCTCTGAACATTTCCTGCTCTTCTTCTGAAAGTATCCTGGGTTCACGAGGTGGAGTGAGGATAGGTGCTTCGGAGGTAAATTCATCATCAAAATTGCTAACATCTTCTCGTCCTCTAATGGTGGGTACAAAAGGAGGCTTCACTTTCTTGGCCAGTAAAGCATTCCAATCTATTAGCTGTAAGATAAACCAGCTGCAGTTTAGTTTGCTCTCTCTACTCCTTTGTGTCCTTACAAACATTACTAGTCTGTACTCACCCTGAAGAAGTGATGCTTTTTCACATCCTCAGCATCTTTCTCTCCAGCTCCAAGCCGCCGCTCTGGATTTCTTCGTAGCAACTGACAAAACATGCACGATTTCAGTGCAGAAATTCAGGGCAAAGAGGAGGAACTAGGGAGGCTGAGAGCTACCGTGTAAAAGCCAACACCAGGATTGGATGGACAGTGACCCATAGAAAAGTCTTGGTCCTCAAAGGAAGTGGAAGACAACGCCTTAGCTGTACACAGCAAGAGGCAGCAGCCCAGCTAAGAGCAGACACAGACTGCACGTCTGTGGGACTGAGACTTGGTGCCTGAAGTGATCTGTGGGTCTGGTGTTCAGCAGAGAGTCAGAAGTGTGCTGGAGAGGATACAGGATTTACATGAACTAGTATTTCCTGCTTGGCTCAGAAGACTGCCTGCTCTGCTGTCTCCTGTGCTTTAACTTATATGCTGCAGCACCTTGCAGAATTGGGTGCTGGACTGATACTCAGTGTCAGACATTTATGTGGAGAGGCTGCTTCCAAAGGGTTTGAATCACCTCCAGTAAGTGCCTTTCTATCAACTGTGATAAGCTTCTACCTTGGACAGGTTCAAGCATCATCTTCAGATAAGCAGAGGTGTTGCACTAAGGAGCAGCACTGGTAATGATCATAATCAACATCAGCTGTTCTTTGTCAAGAAGGGGACTGCAGATGCCACATGCAGTGTTCCCTGCCCCAGTTGGAAGGAATCCAAAGAGATTTAGAAGTCTTTGAATTAAAATATTCATGTGACAATGTTAATCTACCAAACAGGTCAATGCAGCAGTGTTCTGCTAGGAAAAGAGAGCTGAAATTCTCTACTTAGATACAACTAGGAAACTGAGTTCAGGGAGAAAAGAGAACCTTTAGTGTTTTACTTTTTAAAGGGGAAAATCTTGATCCTGAATCAAGTGGAATGGCACTGACAGTTTTCATTTAGGGTGATGGGCAGCATGGCACAGCATAAATGGAGCAAGCCTGAAATTTACTTGTAGAATAAAATACCAGGCGTAGGTTCTTCAAGTATTTTGTTCCTGACCAAGGTAATTAATTTCCTTAATGTTGGAAACAGGATAAAAGGGGAATGCTTATGATGATGGTGTTCTTACCCGTCTCATTATAGAGATGGCCTCTGTAGACAGGAACCGTGGATATCTTACTTCATCATTTACAATACTGTCAAACACCTCCTCTTCATCATCTCCAGGGAAGGGAGACTATAATGCAAGTAATAAAACCCCATACTATTAACAGGCTTGAACATCACTTTCAATTGAAAAGACTTATATTCAGCTGCCAGTTTGGAATTAAGACACCCTGAAATGAAGTCTTCCTTTTCCCAGAAACAGATATGGTAGTTTTCAGTGAGGAAGAGAGAAAAGGCAAGTTGGCATTGTCCCTTAACTCCTACTGTAGGATTATGCTTTACAAATGTTCTTTTAGAAGCAGAAACACCTAAAAAGGGGATCTCTTTCAATCTGTGACACAAGATACATAGGGAATGTGGGAAGTATGGATCAGCTTTTCTTCAGGACAGCTGCCATCCACAAGTAACATGGTCCAGACTAATTTGCTTTTGTCGTATCTTTAGCATGTGGCAGCTCCAGGGTTTTCAAAGTGGCCTGACAGATGTAGGTGACACCCTAGAAGCTTTTTGTCTTCTAGCACATAAGCCATCCCTGCACTAACTGGGAGGTGCTAGACCAGAATGATATGAAAGGTAAGGCAGCATGCACAAGGTAAATAATTACTCAGAAGTAATTTATTTATACCAGCTCATTTACACAGAAGTGGGATGTTCTGTTTTAGTGCAGGTGTAATTCAAATGGTAAACAGCATTGTTTTGGACCAGCTACAACTCCTTCACTTCTACAACTGCTGATAATTGAAGCTCATGGTATGATCAATGTCTATAGCATTACAGCAGCTAGTATCAGGTAAGTAGCTGCTCAGTGTTTAATACTTCTTAAGGAAACACATTAAGATGCTCACTGTAAAAGCAGGGTATGCCCATACATACTGGCTATGCAAGTATTGATGCAACTGTGACACAATGCATGTTGGCAGGCCAGTATCTAGAGTTTTGTAACCTTTTTGACATATATTAATGACTCCATTGGATCTTACTAGAACTTACCTCACCCACTAGCATCTCATAGATAAGTACACCAAGACCCCACCAGTCTACAGCTCTTGTATAGGAAGTTTCTGTCAGCACCTCTGGAGCAAGAAATTCTGGTGTGCCACAGAACGTGCTTGTTCTGTCTCCAAATCCCATTCCTGAAAAGTTACAGTGAATGAAAAGCAAGCATTTGTGGAACTTGTTTGTAGCTGAAGTCACAGGAAATGTTTCAATACCTACTGCATTTAAGAAATTCCCTCTTAGGCTATCTAAAAGCTGAACATATGGAGCAGAAGCCATACAAATTGGAGAAGGAAATAAACCTTTCAAGATCCTCCCCCCGCAAGCAGGTTCGAGAAAGCCACTGCAATTTCAACTGCTGCCTCTATTTTATGTCTTATTTGAAAGGCAGTTGTCAGTAATGGAATGCTTGAACGTACCTTTCTATCATCTAGGCTTCCTTTTTGGGATAAATGTCACAATTTTAGCTAATAGTATACTTTGCATGTCATTTCCACACTCTTGGAGTTGCAACTTTTTCAGAGTTAAACAAATAGATAATGAATAGATAAAAAGAGCAAGGTATGGATTATATTGGTACTTCATTTCATTGTACAGTGTTAACCTGTTTAGAATGAGGAAAAACACTGCTTTTTCTGCTAACTTGTAAAATGCAGCAGTATGCATTATGAAGAAGCAGAGATATGATGAAGTAGGAATCAGAACAGGGGATGCACACAACTGAAAGAAGTCAGTAAAAAACCAGTGCTATGCTCAGATGCTCCTAGTATTTCCCTACTAAGGAACTTTCCCTTATCCCCACATTTGTACAGTCTATTTTTTTTTCCTTTGAGTGATGCAGGGTAAGGATTTGGCAGTCCAGAAGTCTCAAGGAATAGCCAAGAGGAAGACAGACTGCAGAATTCCCCTAGAAAGAAAACTTAAGGGCCAGTACCTTCTTTGCAAAGACCAAAGTCAGCAATTTTCACAAAGCCTTCTGTGTCCAGCAACAAGTTATCCAACTTCAAATCCCTAAATGAACATTTGAGAACAGAAATGCATCACTGACGTTCCTTCAGCACTATTCAGGATAGCCAGAATCCCTCTGTTGGGAACAGGTCAGTGACTACTTACCTATACACGATCTTGTGTTCATGTAAATACTGAAGTCCAAGAACCACACATGCAGCATAGAATCTGTTGAAATAGTTGAAGTGGGATTTTAGTCTTGCTTTTCAGAGTGCAAAGTCCATTATTATCCATCTTTTTTATTAACCATCCCCTAAAGATTACTGATTGGTTTTTCAAGTACAGATTACTTCTATACAAGGTCAGAGTTTTTAAAGCCAGATGGCAAAGATGCTTAAACTTGCAGCTTTCAAGCTGTAGTATGTCTGCTTGGCCTGGAGGATGAATTTTCTGTAGTACTCACTGCCAGGGCATTGAAGGATTTCCAATTTGGCTTATTATTTCTTTTTTTTAGCCTTGTCTGATATTTTAACTTCTCATTTTGCTTTTTTTATGTAATCTTTATTATTTTGTTAGAAAGCGTATTACAGACATTAAATATTTGTAATTTTTGAATTCAGTGTAGATTCAGGCACATTAAACCTGAATGTGTCATCTTCTAAAACAAACAGAATCTCTGACCCTTCTTAAACTTAAACAGTATTTACTGAAATGACCTGATGAAGAGGCACGTGGGGATTTTTCTTACCTACTGAACAAAACGCTCTTCACTTAATGCCACAAAAAGGGATGGATACTCACACTGCTCTGGGTTCCGAGAAGACATCAGTATGAATGTGCATCATCAGGTCCCCACCAGCAGCATATTCCATTACAAAGCAAACGTGATCTTTGGTTTGGAAACAAGCAAAAAGGTTCACCAGGAAGGGATGTCTTACACTATTCACAGTTTCAAATATTCGCTTTTCACACATCAAGCTGCAAACAGAAAGTCAGTACAAATTTAGAGCTTGAAACCACAGTTTTTCAGCTCTCAGAAACTGTTGGCAGTTGGTACTTTACATTTTTTCCTCTACTAGTCCTCTGGATGAGATAAGAACATTTTTTGTTTCAAGAGAGAGGTTTTAATACTTGCTCACGCATTAAGTTGATGCCAGGATTTCCACAAAGTCGCATTTGGCTTTCACCAATGAACAAGGAAACCTAGCAGTCCATGAAAACTGTATCCTGCCAATTCTCCTTCCAAATACATAAAGTGGAAAGCAATATTGATATTATAGACATCTAATTCCAGATTATTATCCTTAAGCCAATTGGTTGATTTGTAGCTTACTTAATGCAGTTACCTTTCTTCCTGCAAGATCAAATGAATATAATCACTAGTAAACAGTTGTAAAAGCACTTTCTTGCACTAAACCTAGATAGTTCAGTCACTGTCACTTTACTTCCAAGCAAAGAAAAAAATCAGAGTTTTGGGCAGAAAGTAGAGTATAAACAGGACTTAAGGGAAAATATGATGGACAAAGTGTGACAGTATGTCACAGGGTGAGAAATACTATCATAGGGTTTCCGCCAGTGAAGAAAACATAGTCATGGTCTTCCTGAAATGTGGCAGATTCTATAGAACAAGTAATTAGAATAAAAATTGCAAGAGACCCTACATGAGAAACAGGATCAGCTTCAAGTCACAGGCATGGTAAGAGGGGCACAAACAGCAATCAGTATTCCTGGGCTACAGTTCTCCCTCCTTGCCCCAGGAGAAAGACTGCATGTCTGCAGGAGCCAGGCAGACAGGGAGATGACAACGTGCTCTGCTCTTTCACTGAATTTAACTGCTGTTTGGAGAGCTCACAGTTGTGCTGCATGCAGAAAGAAAGCAGTTGATTTATGGAATCCATATTTTACAAACTGACCTGTCTACTTCATCACGAGCGACAATATCTCCTTTCTTTAAGGCTTTAATAGCAAACATCTCATTTGTGTTTTTGTACTCTGCCAACAGCACCTAAAACAGAAGGTAAGCCATTCATTTAAGAGCTATACCCAGTTTTGGATAAAGCCTTGACATTTGCTATTGCTTTTTGACATTTACCTTTCCGAAATGTCCTCTGCCCAGTACAGCACAACATCTGAAATCCTTCAGACTGAACTGAAATCTTTGTTGTGATCTATGTAAATTAAACAACAGTCAAAAATTATTTTGTTAACTTCAAGAAGTACTGTCCAGATCAACAGCAAACCCACTGCATTTTTACCTTCTGTCTTCAGGCTCTCGGGTGTTGGTGTATTTTATGTCTGAACGGGGAGCATCAGACTCGCAGATTATTTCAGGCTGGAGTTTTGGGACAATACTGTTTCTGCCATTTTCAAAATCAAAAGCTGTTACTTCATCCTGTGAAGAAAAACAAGGCTGAAAATTTAAAGCTGATTGTGAAGGCAGATGAATGCAGAAATTTTACTGGAGGCATATGAAATTCTTAACACATGAATTATCTAAGCTAAAATAGGAGACTTCAAGATGATACAGAGAAAGAAGCTGTAACGGAGTGGTGAAACCTACTGCTCCAGTCAGTCTGCTTTTTGTTAGTAGAACCATTTTTTTTCATGATTACTCTTAATGATTTGGGGCTTTTGTTATTTCTGTGGAGGAACCAATGACCTGGAGAGTTAAACACAGCAACCATGGAAACAGTTTGCCACCAAGAGTAATTGGAGCATTTTGTTGAGACAATTCTGTATGTGTAAGTTGAGGGAGCATATGCTGAAACATACGGGGAGAAATCCATCGTAAAGACACCAATATTGCAACCTTGTTAAACTGCACAGGCCAAAATACTTAGTTACTTGCCTGAGATGGCACATCAGGAGCCTTTATCTCAGAGGAAGACTCACATATTTCCCCAAGGGAAGATGCTCGGGGTGGAGCAGGTGGCGGCTCAGGCTCAAGTTCAAAGTCCAACTTGGCTACAGCAGAGTCACTGGCAAGGAAATAAATAACTCCTTAGTGTACAGCAAAGATGGTTTTACTGGCATGAAAACCAACTGAAAACTGCATGTTATGTAGGTTCCTCCTAAAAACAGATCTGTGCATGTGGATCTGTACAAAATGGATGTGCAAAATTAACACACTGAAAGGTCTGTAGTCTTGCAGAGTAAATAGATTTGACATCCATTACACACATTAGGGCATATAAGCATCTCCTCCTAACTCTTGCTCTTACAAAGTACTTAAAAGTAGATATCCCCTACCTGGCTGGCAGTGTTAGCTCAGGAATGTGTGCATCAACCACTGGCCCGGTAGCAGGCACTGATGCTTGAGGGCTGAAGGTGCCAGAGTGATTTACTGTAGGAATAGCTCTTCTCACCAGCCTTCCCCAAGTGGCAATATTAATATTCATTTGAGGAGCTCTGAGAAATGTTTTGCCTATGGATATTGTGAAAAAGAAAACAGAGTGCAAGTAATTTCCTTACTTATTACCAAAAGCTGTAATTAAAAACATAAATTCATATTAATTGGTTTATGAAGAATAAACTGAATTTGTCATATGCCTTATCGATTCCTAATTATTCACTGTTAACGCATAATAAGGAATTCTAACCCAAAACATTTCTAAATGCAATGCCACATCCTTGATTATCAACAGTGTTATTCACAGGTAAACATTAGATCTCTGCATAAAAGAGATCACAGATTCTTATCGTTTTGAAGCTTTACATGTTTATATTTAACAATCACCTTGCTGCTTTGAAAAGATTTTCTTCTGCCTCTGGAGCTTTGGTCTTCTTTCAATAACTGGATTAAAAAACGTAACCTGCAGTTCAAATAAGGGGTGTTAGAATTCAAGTTTCAGGACAAAATGCACTCTTAAAAGTCTGAGTTGTTTTTCTTTAACTATTCTGCAATATAGTATTTGTAAGTATGCTCACATGCTCGGAAGAAATATTCTTACCTCTGCAAAGAGAGTACCCTGGGGTTCAAGATAGAGACACATGCCATGCCGTTGGTTATCCAGGAAATCTTCCAACCTCAGAAACTTTACTGCACACAAAGATCTCCAGTCACGCCAATAAACAGAGATTTCCAACTCACGTGACTACGGCAGGAAACATATACACAGGAAATTACTTACTGGTGATTGTTCTGCAAGAGTTACCTCTGTGCAACTGTAAGATCTAGCAACTCAAGGGCCGAGATGCAGAGCTGTTACTTCAAAGGAGTGCCACTGCCACAGAAGTACCGTAAAACTTCTGTGACATGGCTTTACCAAAACATCCAAACTATCTGATACTGGAGTTTACTGATACATAAGGAGAAGTTGATGATCCTTATAAGAATTTAAGTACCAACTATCACAGGCTACAAAGATATTATGGCAGGTTAGAGGCAGAAAAGGTAACATTTCTAGGAGTGCCAGCCCAGTGTAATGCCTTAACCCCTGGGAGCTCATTCTGTTAAGGATGGGAATACTCACACATCTCAAATTTGAACATAACACAGCAACAGGAAAAGAAAACAGGCAGCATTAAATTAATGTAAGAGTTAAATGTGGCTGTCAGTGAAGTGAGAGCACGTTTTTACCCTGTCTAGTTCCAGTGTAAATTTCTGATCCCAGGACTGGTTGGAAATAGGCTTCCAGCTAGTTTGACCAACCACAGTGTTATCCAGCTTCAGTACAGCACAGACTTCATCTGTAAGTAAAGCACACAACCTCAGCTTAAATCTTTAAGAGGATTTTCCACAAACAAAAAATCTTCAGTAAAGTTTCCTTTAGAAATGTAATCTCATATTTAACTGGTTCTTGTGGGTATAATAGTGTGGTTGTGTTTCTGTTCCTTTTCTTTTTAAAACAGATGAAGAAACAGGCAAGTTTAAAGCTTCAAATCAATGTCGCATTTTACGTTACAGGACAGGGCATGCACATCGAAACATAAATGCATGACAATAAGAGAAGGAAGAGTATACTGAACTGGACAAGTCATCAGTTTTCAGAAGGTTTCTGCTGCTCCCACTTTTAATTTTACTGGTTCTGCCAATGAAGGATGTTCTGGCTTCATTTGGACTCCAACCAGGTAGCGTGATCGAGGTGGCTTTGGATCGGCCAGGGACGTTTTCCAAGATATCTTGGCACCCCATCAGCCTCACTTCCAGGGTACCTAGAACAAGACAGACAGGGATTTATCAGAGATTTCTGAGTAAACAAAGTGAATGACTAATGACTGATTTATGGCAATAGCTCACATTCTAATCCCCACAGGCTACAACAGAAATATCAGATGAAATTAAAAGACAGATCTAAGACAAATATACTGAAAATAAGCATTAAAAGTCAAACATGTGGAACTCAACCTCCTAGAAGGAGCACCAGTTCACCAAAATGACACAAAGTAAGTTTTTGTTCTGTCTCTCAGAAGTGTCTGTTTTCTTCACCTGAGAACCTAACTGCCTTGGGTTCAAGCTGTAAGCAATGCCACCTTCAAAGATGACAAATCTTTAGTTTCTTACCGAAATGATGGATCTTGCAGATGGGACAATAACAATTTTCCCATGAGTTTTATATAATCAATTAATATTGGATACGTTGCTTTGGTAACCAAAATTAACACATTGACTACTGAAACTATGCATTTGTTTCAGATGCACTCAGAAATCACATTTGTCTGCTGCATGCTAAAGGCAAATTTGAGTTAGTACATTACCTAAAAATCACTGAATTGTTCCAACTTGACTGAATTTAGATTTATAAAAGCTGAGACAAGAAGCTGCTCTTCACAGTTTCTTACATCTTTAACCAAATGAAGTTTAGAGGCTGCTGTTCTAATTTAAGAGTTTCCTCCAGCAGCACAGGACGGTAGGCTTACCTCATCCTGTACAAGATAGCATCTGTAAAACTGTGACACCATGCTACCAACAAAATTAACTATTAAAGTGGTGAAATCAGCCAGTTCATAATCATACTGTCACCAGAAATGTAGCTCCCAAATACACTGTTCTTCTGACAGCACATGTACTGAACTGTGAAACTTTAAAAGTACTCTTTTATAACAGAAACTTAAGTCAGACTTGAGCTAAAAATGGTCTGGCAACATTCTAGCCCACAGAACAGACATCAAGAAACCAGGCTGAGAAGAAATCCCATCCTACAGGGAACTAACAGCTGTAAGTGACCTCTAAGCATTAGGCTATGAAGATGAAGAGATGCTACTGGCTCCCGAAACAGGTTAAAAGGTAAAAGAATGCTTTACTCCCAACCTCCGTTTATGGGGTGAAATAAATAAATACAGAAATAAAAAGCAGAAAGGCTGTAATCTTATGTAAGGACAGAAGGATCTGTCGATGCACTTTAAAATGACATAGCACTGATCTATTTTTCACAAAGAGTTAGAGGCAAAACACAAAGACACCGTTCACTTAAATCCAGTTCCATACAAAAAGCTCTTTGTGTAGCCATTGTGAAAGTGAAACTGTGAAGAACTTCAGAAGCTTGTAGCTCTGGTTAGATAACTCCATTACAAATGGTTCATGTGCATCAGTAAATTACACTTAAAGAGGAATTATTTGTCACTATAACACACCTGACCCATGGTTATGTATTATGCTTTTTGCTCTTTGCTACGTGTCTCAGTGAACCAAAATGGAGGACAAGTAGACTCGCTCCATTTTCTTGTCATTGCAGCTCAGCAGAAGAGTTCCTCTTTTTGTTTATTTTAAATATAACCCCACAGCAGTTCAAAACTAGATTCTGGTTTCAGTTATACATGTATTAGGAGAGTAACATTTGAATTACAGATGGTTTCTGTAATAAACTCACTCCATTAACAGTTACATGTAAAATGTTTTAGGATACAAAACACCAAACCTATCTGTACCAGGAATTCTTACACGACCACTGATTAAATAAATTTAGTAAAGTAACATACTCCCAAGTAGTCAAAAGTATTTGTTTAGCAAATACTTTTAGCACAAATGTCACCTTCTAGAAAGCCAGTGTGGTCCAGTAGGTAAAACAGGGACAGGGAGAAAGCTGGGTGCCTGTCTCCAGCTCTGCCACTGCCTTGTTGTATGACCAGGGCAAGTCACTTAACCCTTCTGCACCTCAGTTTCCCCATTTGTAAGATGGGGATAATTTTACCCACCTTTTAAAGTTCTTGATAATCCAAAGATGAAAGGCATTAGGTAAACGCTAGTAGTACCATTCCACAGTGACCTAAGTTAAGGCCAGAACTTCACTTTTTCAATAGGAGTATTATAAAGTCAACAAATAAATCAAAGAAACTTATCTGCATTGTTTTGGTGCACAGACACTTGGAAATTCTAAATGCCTTTGTCTAGGAAAAGAACAACAATGAAACATGTCCAGAAAGAAGTAAAGTTGGCATGAAAGGCTTGTTTTAAACCATTGAATAAAGTAGGAAAACATGGTTCCATGAATCCTACCTGTTAAAGCTGCTGGTTTGGACAGTGTACTGTACTGGTTCTGAGTAGATATTACACTTTGACGAGGACTTAATGTGGGTGAAGAGACCAATGAAAGCTCCTCTATAATAATACTGCTTTTGGGATGGTTTTTAGGAAGTTCATTCAATCTCTGTTCCAGTGAATACTTCAAGAGGTCCAGCTTCTGGCTTGACTCATTAAATCTTGCTTGAGCCTTCTTAGAACAAAAAAAATTCATGAAATATTTCATATTTTTTTGGCCTTGAAAGAGCATTTTAAAATAAAAGTATCAGAAATTGTAATGACAAATTACTTCTGAAAGTGCCTTTCTGTCGGTGACCTTCCCAGATCCAAGTAATTTCATCACATTCTTTGCACCTTCTGCTACAGCATACTCTATCCTAAAGTGATGCCGTAATTCTTCCATTCGGAGTTCAAGAGGGCTTATCACAGGCTTTGCTGCAGAGATACAAACGAACACTCTTCAATGAAGACCATGCCCAGGTTGAATTCCTTTAATACTAACTCCTCCCCCATATAAATAGAGGGCAGAAAACAGAAAGAAAAAGGCGAAAAAAAAAAGGGAGATGCAGATTTGGTATTCGAAAGGAAAGTCTGAAGTACATCATAAAAGCAACAGTGAGCTTTTAAGTATCTACATTTGAAGGAAGAAATAACTCATCAGGGCCTCAATCCAGTAAACAGGCCCTCCTCCTGGAAGAGCTGTGATTGCTAGTGGATGTGAGAGAACATGTCTTCAGGGGAGTTAAGGGACAAAAGCCATCACTCAGCTGGCAAGAAGGAGGTTTTGAGACTTCCACGTTTCTGAATCATGCTCTGAGGATTTATCTTTCAAACTACCCTGCAGCTAAGTAGATCTTTGATTGCTTTCTGATAATCCTCCTGCTTCACATGAAATCCCAGGGAATCTGGCTTCTGCCAGCACAGAGAATGTAAGAGGTCCCATATGCTGCCTTCCCCAGTGGTTTGGGTTAACCATTGTAATGCCCACTCCTTATAGTGTTTAAAACAGAACTAGGAAGTTTCCTGGATGTATTTTCTATTTAAAGCTCTGAGAGTAGTAGGAACACTAAAAGATACCTGAAAGACCCTTCTAGCTGGAATACCTTTCTTTTTCTTTGGAACAAACAATATATGCAATACAGGGGCTAAGATGGGGCGTTAAAAAAATGCCAGAAGTGTGATAAAAGTGTAAACCCAACAAAAACCAATCCCTACCTCACACTCTCACATACACAAGCTTTTCACTATCTGGGGTATACCCAGGACCTGATCACAAGCTTTGTCACACAACTTCAATACTCAGAAATGCATATGAATAAAGTTCAGGACTTGGAGATGTACTGATATGTCCACAATTCTGTACTCCACTCATGCTATTATAGCTCAGGGCTACTTTTATTTCTTATTTGAAGATTTCCAAAGAAATGCAAGTTTAAAACTACTTCTGAAATGCAACATGAGTATTTCAAGACATTTTAAAACCAGGTTTTTTTTCGTTTAAAGTTGTTTACTACTCATCTAGCCTAAACACCCATAAAGACAGCCAAAATTCACCTCCATCTGTGCTCTCATTAGTAATAATAAGGTCAGTCTATTTCAGTATGAGAAGCAGGCTTCGCACCTGCGTCAGATTCTGGTTTTTAGGATAGTGAAAAGATTATGTGCTTTAATGAAAATTACTAGTTATTGTTAAGAGAAAAGCATGGTCTCCGATTATTTTTGGCTTACGCAAGCTTTGTCCAACATTCCTACTAGAAATTCATGGTAACACTGTTTGCATATGGGTTCATATCTACCTGGCATCCTGACATTGTTAGTGATTCATATTCCATTTCTATTTACTCACCATTATCAAAAGCCAATTCATTGGTCTGGACTGCCTGAAGAATCTGCATCCTTATAACTTCTATTTTCGTCTTGCTGTCCTGGAGCATCTGCTGAGCTGTGGCAAGAAGTTTCCGATCCTATTAAAACAAACAAGTTAACATCATAACCTCTTCATGGAACAAAGCACATTGAAAGCTTCAAAACTGACACACTTTAGGAACAAGAACTAAACATACGCACTTCATTTGGTATAGCAGACTGATACAACTAACCACATTAGGGTACTAGGGAAATTAAGGTAAGAAAAAGTTAGTTCTGGTTGATTAAAGACTATAAGCTACTCCCATGAAAACTATCTGTTTAAAGCTGAATAAAGGAGACACAATCTAGCAACATTACATGTGTAGATTAATGTTTTGTGAGCTGATACTAAAGAAAGGACAAGATATTATGTGCAAAATACCTTCACCTTACTAAGAAAGACTCAAATTTTATTGTATGATGAGAACTCTTCTAATAGACAAAATTGCTTTATTATCCATGTAAAAATCACTGTACTAATTCACTTGAGCTGATACTCAATTTTGACATTAGAAATAGGAAGTTAGCTTACATAGCACATTCTAAATAAGTCTGCTGTATGTTTTCCTGAACAAATCAAAGCTGAAGATTGTTTTGCATTAATAACTACATAATACATGAGGGTTAATTCCTCAGCTGTTTCATCAGCAACTTAAGAGTGCTGTACATTTCATCTAAATGAAGCTGACCAATTTAGAAGAGAACCTTTCTGAAAAGGAACTTTCAATCTAACTGATAATACCATTTTCTATCTTCCAGCTACTGAAGAACTGACTTACAATGCCTTATCAAATGGTTCTTGGCTGTGGAACTGTTGCATGTGCTTCTATAGCTGCTGCATGGCACTCTCTATATGTTCTGGGAATTACCAGGTAACTTAAAAGTGATCTGACTTGCAGTAAGAACAAAAAAAAGGGTATAAGAAAGTGTAAGGCAGTCTGTTTGTCCTGTCTGTGCAGTACCAATCAATCACAGTAATTAACAGTAGGCAGTGGAGATGAGCATCACACTAGTTATAGCCCAAAGGGTATTTTGGTTAACTCATTTTATGGCCACTCTATAACCTCATTAATAAGTTACTTTCCCGTGGACATGGTTTTACTTATAGTTTTAATTTTATAATGAAGTTATCAATTATTTAAGAAGTTAAAGAAATTCAGTTCTTCCCCTTACCACAATCACGACAAAGAACTGCAGCGTAGCACAGATAGTCAGAGCTGGAAGCACCAGCACCATGAAGTACAGTATGAGAAAAATCAGTATGCTGAGAAATTTACCTTCACAGAGCTCCTCTATGACCTTGCATCTAATATAGATGACAAGCAACTCTAGAATCCTGTGTTAAACCTTATCCATGCATCATTCCAATGTATAAATATGCTGTGTTTCTTGTCTGTATCTTCACTTTTATCTTATTTTTGATCTTGTTCCTCTTGATTGTCTCTCGTATCCTCTTACTGCAATGAATTTGCTTGCTCAGGGGCAGTATCAGCACTTCAATGTGTAGAATGGAGGCAATTCAGGACTATAGAGATATCCTTATGTTTTCAAGAGACAAAAATCCCCATCTCAAGAACCAAAATGGATGTGTTATACTCAGCAGCTCTTTTAGTGCTGGAGGCTGAATACAAAGCATTTCAAGGCATCTCCTGAGCATAGAAGAACTGACAGTGCCTGTAAAACTGATCTGCAAAGCTGTCGTGGGATCTTAGACAATCCACACCAGTCCAAGCAAAGATGATCAGTATCTCAGAAACACTGAAGTCTCCGAATAGGTTGAGCTGAATGTTACTGAAGCAAGTAGAGTAAGTACAGAGGGAAAACCTTCCGAGATGATGGGTTTAGTGCTATTAACAGACTGTTTTCTCAGTTTTAGGAAACAAATGATGACCTCCCTCCATTAAATTTAGGCCTGAAAATAATACAACATATTTGAAAGTAGATCATCTAGGACACTTGAATAAAAGGCCATGACAGAGTTTAACATGTTTAAAAGGTCCTGTGACTACCTTTTAAAGAACTCTGCATTACCAGGGTTGGATTCACATTGGGAATTTCCTGCCCCTTTGCCCACCTCATCCAGACACTTGAGTTGCTTCAAGCTTTCTTTTTAAAACATAATCACCATGCTCAAGCCTACAGTTTAAGCCTGCCAAATTAACTCACTGCTGAGTATTAAGAACATGAGAGAATGAATACGTACCATTTCCATCCTGTTTGTCGAAGCAGCTGGCAATGCTTTTTTGTGTTTTCCAGCTTGCTCTTCCCAGCCCAGTTACTATATACACCCAGTCTGGTAGGCTGATTTAAGCATTTACCAATTGCAAATACAAGATTCAATCACCAATTTTAATTACATGCCTCAATCCTAAAGCAAACCAGAATTTACCCTTTTTACTTAGTCTGATCAAAGCCTGCCTACAATGTCTACTATTACAGCCTGAGTGGTTAGTTAAGGTTTTTCAGGCTGTTATAAGGTTACTTGCAGAGGGTTTATTAGGCACATAACTCATGTATGTCTTTTGATCCAGTTGGGTCAGCTGGTTATTATTTTTAAGTGCACCTGATATTAAGTGCATGGCCCCAGAGGATGCAGACTCCAGGGTTTCCAGCAGCTAAGGGACTGTGGTGCGTGGACAGCATTCCCAGGTCCTTAGTCATAAGGTGCACTCCAGATATTTTTCCATCTGCCCCAGGCTAGTAGGGTACAGGTCACTTTCAGATAAGGCTACAGAGTACCAGCTGGTTCCACAGAGGTGCTGCTGGCTGGGACAGAATAAGCCTGATGACACCTATGGTCCCACCTGGTCTAACCTCATTTTTCTGGGAGTGAGCAGCATTCACTGTCATTTTTCCAATGTCTGAGTCTCGCAGTAGGCAGATACACAGCGATCTGCCCATCCCAAGCAGAAATTCACTCAAACACACCAACACTTTCTGGTTACTATCAATTGTAAGGGGTAGCAATGCAGTTGACAGATGTCTGCTCTTCAAGTCAAACACTTCTTTCCAGCGTGTTCACTGACCTAGCTAGGTGTTGCTCCCTCAGCCAAGAACTTAAAGCATTTCAATGTTATTTACTACTCTCTGGACACAGAAACATCTAACCAAGCTACTACACACTGTTAGATCTCAGCTTGTGTTTCCCCTTAGTTTGGAAATTCATCTCCTTAATGATTTAGTAAAAGTTAGCAGAAAGAACAGGTAATGTGTAACTAACGAAGGGTGAAGGAGCAGTTAAGTAGAGGATCCCCTTTTTTTCTATTTGAGAACCATACTTACAAAACACACGTTGGGGGATGAGAGGGTGTTGGTTTCTGGCTTGGTTTGGTTTTGTTTGTTGTTTTTGGGGGTTGTGTGTGGTTTTTCCCCCATATGAAAGGTTAGGCTTGTCTTGCAGTTGAATTAAGGGATTCTTAAGAGTATGCTGAATTTTACTACATAGTTTGGACTATGCAATAAGTCAAACCCATTTAGGGGTTAACACTTCTCCCTGCCTCCTTCAAAAGCTTCTAGTGCTACTGAGAAAGAGAGCAAGTGAGCATGTGTTTAAAATTCAGATCTAGAAATAAGAGTGATTTTATTTTTACTCTCTTGATGCTACCAGATGCTATCACACTTCCATAAAAAAAGTACAGTGTATATACACACACGTCTAAATGTATCTTATGTGCATACATAGTAATGCAGATTTTAACAACTTGATCAGAATACTATACACATCTTAGCAAAACAAATACTTGGTGTAACTCTTTTTACTGCCAACTGCTAGTCAATGACCACCTCAGAAGCACACTGGCAATTCTGGGTAATAATTCTGCGTAGTTATCATGCACATTACAACTTTAAACTGATGGGTTTTGTTTGTTTGAGGTTTTTGTTTAGTGGAGGTACCAGTCAGTGGCACAGCAAGCTTTGCTGCTCAGTGAATCGCACCCGGTGAAAGATTACTAGATGTACTAAATTTAGTAAGCCGGATTTGTTATTTATGTTGAACTGCATGTGGACACATTGATCAAACAATCACTTAAGTGGGTATCAAACCACAACAAAAAAAAAAGGGGATAGGAATTTGTAGCAGGTTTGAGATAGCCATTTAACAACAAATATACCCCAAAGTACTG